ATTATTTACAGTAATACATATTTTCCGATGTGTGCATGACAGCTTTGCCCACACACAATAAGACAGGATGACATGTACGGATATGTGTGAGTATGTTTCATGGATTAATAGGTCACTCCTTTGCTTCAATTTCAACTACATCTCTGGAATATCACTTGCTGTTTATCATCCATATTTTGATATCTCACAATATGTCAATTGCGTATCTCGAAATTCTAACTACTATTTCGCAGAATTTGACCAGCCTTGCTTTTACCAGTCATTTAAGTCAACTCCCATATTTTCCTTCACAGTGAAGGTTAATGCAGATATATTGTAAATTACACAGAGATAACATTACAATACATTTCCCTTCACATTCCCCTGTATTACATAACAATCTTTGAGCTGAGGCAGTTATGGTTCTTCAACCATCACCAGTTCTATTGTACTCCCCTGTAATTGGCTATGGTTTTGAGAGTGAATAAAGGAGTTTTAGTTGGTCTTGGCGAGAACACGATGCACGCAGTCGTGAGACAGATGCAGTCTTGGGTCAGCCTTGAGAGAGGAGGTCAATCCATAAGTTCCCGTTGTTGGATTGCGCCCGAATGGAGACTAATAATGATCGCATTGGGGTGAAAAACCACAACATGACCCCAGGCTCGTTTCAGAATCACCACATAACCATTCAGCCTTTCATATAGGAGTTGTGCTGTCAGGTACAAATGCAAGGTAAGTGAGTAACCTGCCAAAATAAGATTGCTACTTCTATTAATATATTCGATCTGTCATAACACTGTATAGATCAACCTAATGTGATTTAAAAACACATAATCTTCAATCACTTAAATTGAGCTCGAACAATAAATCTAAAATATCCCAATTTTTGGAAGTGAGCTTAAATATAATTGTCTGCAAAAGATGATAGTATGTAACAGTCCCCGTTAGTTATCGAATTTAAGATATATAGTTTTGCTATAGTAATAAGAATATGATTATGATGATTGTTTAACATTAAAATGATTGACATTTGTATCTGATCGTCAAACGAGTATTGAGAGATATTGCCCTGGAACAGCATTAATTAAAACAAAATCAGCCATTTCGAATACATGTATAATGAATATATAAAATTTGAACATAATCAGTCAAAGCATGTCAGAGATATGGCACTAGAGCTGCATTCATTAATACAAAATGGCCTCCAGTCGGCCATTTTAAATCCAATCTGAAAAATAAAATGACGTGCATCAGGAACCCATAATGTCTAATGTATGTACCAAGTTTGAACAAAATCCATCCATAAATTCCAGAAATGCTTGATATTTGATGATTTTTTTAGCACAAAAATGGTCATTTTGAATAGGATCGTCAAACCAATATATCTGTATATCTATGACATGATTTATAATGAACATAATCAGTCTAAGCAAGTCAGAGATATGGCACTAAAACCACATTCTTTAAAACAAAATGACCGCCAGTCGGCCATTTTTAATCTTATCTGAAAAACAAAATGATGTGCATCAAGATCCTATAATGTCTAACGTATTTATAGCACAAAAATGGCCGCCATTCAGATCGTGGAACAAATTGATGTGCATATGTATAATGTCATGTATGATGTATGTTTGAAGTTTGATTGTGATTGGTCCAGGCATTTCTAAGATACAGGTCCGAACGCACGCACGCACGAAGGTTAAAACACAAGTCCCAGTTTTCGGACTTCGTTCGAACGGGGACTAATTTGAATAGTTGATATTAAGGTTGATAGGTTGGTTAGTTTTTAGTTTGTGTAATGCATATTCTGGTTATTAGTAGTTTGGAAGAGGGGAGGCAAGGGGGGGGGTAGCTGGTACAGTTTTACGGGAAATAAAAAGGGCTTTTC